TTGGACATTTCTCTTTTTCCACAATGGACCAATTCGCACACTTCCTCAAACACACACACACACACACACACATACACACACACACACACACACACACACACACACACACACACACACACACACACACACACACACACACACACACACACACACACACACACACACACACACACCTATCTATCTATCTATCTATCTATCTATCTATCTATCTATCTATCTATCTATCTATCTATCTATCTATCCCTCCATCCCTCCCTCTCTTTTTCTCTCTCTCTGAAGCCCCCATGCAGAGTTCGGGATGATTACTATGTAAATGAGTGCGACTGGAGAGAAGGAAGGAGGGATGGGGGGGTCAGACACACTGCACGGGGAGTACTTTTGTTCCTCTTTTCATTATCTCGCTCTATCGTTCCCCGGATCACTGCTATCTCCACGCCGGAGGAATATTTTAATATCCGTTACAGCAACACACACTCTGTCACTCCTCCCTCCCTTTCTCACAACACACCCCACCCACCCATCCATTCATCCATCCATCCATCCCTCTGCCCATACCACTGCCTGCAGTAGAAACTATAGAGGCACATGTACAGAGAGAAACAAGGAGAAACAGAGGGGGGTTCTCGTGGATAGACGGAAGGAAATGCACAGAGTGGGCCCCCCAGATGACAGGCAAATGTGGAGAGGGGCAGGGAAATGAAGAGAGGGATGAAGAGTGATGGCAGTAGGCGAAGGGAAGGATGGTGCAGTGGGGTGAAGGATAGGCAGAGAGGAAAATACAGAAAGGATGGAGACAAGAGGAATGGATGATGAACAGGGAACACAGGGAAGTAATAAAAAGCCCAGTGGATTCTTCCATGACGGCCTGCTCATAAATGTGAAAAACAACATGAATACTGGAATCTATTTGCCCAGAATAAACCGTTATGCAGACAACAACCCAGCAGGCTAGGACGCAGCTCAGCAACACTGCAGTGTCTTCACTGCTTTTACAGGCCGTTTTCAAAACATTAGACAGTCGTAAATGCAGTCTTAATTTCACCTGTGCAGTTGGATTGTCAGTCAGAAACGTAGGTCACTGTAGGTGCCCCTGTGTGTGTTTTTTAAATGTGCATTTGTGTGTGTGCTGAAGGGAAAGTGATGTGTATATGTCTAGACAGCAAACACATGGCTGGGTTAAACACACTGCAATTACACATCCACCTCGAGGTCATGTATGCCACTGTATGTGTGTGTCAGTATATTTGTTTGTTTGTGTGCTTGCTTGTGTGTCCATTTCACATCTTCTTCCCTTTCATTTAGTTCCTGTTCCTTTCCTTCCTTCCTGGTCCTTTCCTCTAATTTCCCTTCCTTTTCTTTCCTTTCCATTTTTTCCCTCTCCTCTCTGTCATTACTGATGCCTGCAGTAGATAGGCCTCATTAGCGTATGACTGTTCGTGATATCTCTGACTGGCTCATTTGTCTGTCCCCCATTGTCTTCCTCTGTTCTCATATCTCTGTTTGCCCTCCCCAAGGAGAACAGAGGAGGAGAGGGAGTGGGCTTCACTCGCCCCAATCCAACCATCTTGCCTCTCTCCCATCCAGCCTCCTATCCTCCCTCCAGCGCCATCCTTTTCCCACAGTTGTTGTTTTTTTCCCTTACAGTATTATAATATAACATGCCTGGGACCCTTTGTATGTTCATCCCCACCCTCCTCTCTTTTCCTGTAGTATCGACTCGAGGAGAGCACATAGGGCTTAGGTCACATTAAAACGATGTTCACTCAGTCCGTCACATAAAGAGAGCCTTTCCAGTAAAGTGACAACATGATCTTGTCTTTGGCATCCCCCAGATTCTACTTCATGCTCTCTAGCACATATGATATGATGCAGATTGTTTTGTCATAAAATCTTTTTAATGGAGAACTTATTATTACAATTAAGATATTTGGATGGCGCTCATCTCTGTATAAAACACGCTGCTCCTGCAGTTCCTTCAAGATTATTTTGTTTCTTTCCCGTATTGCTTCATTCAGCTGCCCAGTGAGTATGAAGCGAATCCAGAGCTGCTGTTCTACCGGATCACACACCTCAACCACCGGCAGCAGTACCTGATCTGGGCGGCAGCCGTCACCACCGCAGGTCGAGGGAACTTCAGCGAAAAGGTCACTGTGGAGCCGGCGTCCAAAGGTGAGTTCCTGGAAATTAAAGGCAGAAACGAGAGACAAACATCCGAGTGCTTGGAAGCAATTTTTGCTACCTAAGTTACATTTAATCATTCTTTCAACAAGGGGGGTTCACAAATGAATCCCAATAAAGTATGGGGGTACCTCCAGCATAACAACATCATCTTTGACCAAATTGTCACAGGTAAGATTGCAATGTTGGCAATGTACGGAGCAGTTTTGACAATGAGGAGGAATGTGTGGGGAAATAAAGATGATATAATGTGTCACATCAGTTAAAACACTGTAATACTCTTCTGATATACTCTATTTAAATGTGTGTATAAACATTCCTTCACACTGAAGATGTGTCATTAAAACACAGTTGAAACTTGGTTATGTAATGTATCAGAAAACATTCACTTTACAACCACATTCTGTCAGATTTATCCAGGACAGCTGAAAGGCTTTTTAACCTACATATCAGTGGTGGTTGTGTGGGTGACATAACAGACAATGCCAAGAACTACAAATATATATATTTTTAAAGGATCTTTTACTCATGACTCGTATAAAAAGTCTCCCTCTTATTCTGTCTCTTGCTATTACTATATAACTGCATATTTTTCAACCTCCCCTCCTGTTTATGTGTTTTTGAGCCTCTGCTATTGATTTCCGAGTTCAGAGGGCACCAGATAAACTGTCCTGAATCAGGGAAATAATAAGAGGGAGAGCAAAAGGGAGGACAGCAAGTGGAGGAAAAGAAGAGGAGAGAATATGACATGACGGGAGGAGAGCTAACTAATGCACAAGACGATAGAGAGGCAGAGTGTTTAAGAAAATGAAGAGGGCAGTTAAATCAATAGGCTTTGGATTAAAGGAAAGAGGGAGTAAGAATGAATAGAGTGCACTTCCCACCATGTTATCCTTTCCTGTATCTATTCGGTCCTTTGACTGCTGGGTGCAAAGGTTTGCGAGTGTGCGCTCGTACGGGTGGGTGCGTCAGCTGATTGGCAGCTGTAAAAGGCAGTGTCCTCCAGGCTTGCCCACTCAATACTTCATTCAACCTTAACATAAGTGCACTAGAGCACTTGCATTAAGACGCCAAGCTTGAGAAAGAAAGAGAGACAGAGAGAGCGGGTGGGTGGAGTGACAGAGAATAAGAGGGTTATGTGCCTGAATGGATGGATATTTTTTTTAATATCCTCTCTGCTCATTCTTCGTCCTGTCTTGTATTTTTATTCATATGCTTTTCTGAGCCGGACAATGTCACATTAAACATAGATTTCTTTACCCCCGGGTGTGAATCACGGTAAATACATTGCACACTCTCTACTGGTAAATCATGTTTATTGAAAGAATCCCAAATGGAAAACAAATCAATTGCATTTCAACCATCACATTTCTCTATTGATTCGACACATACTGAAACCTAAAGCATTTGTTTATGGGGTTTGAAAATGATTTATCTGACAATGCCAAGATTAACCGATTGGTACATATTAATTAGAACACAAAACAACTGTTCTTGTGTAATTGTTAATACCAATAGCTCTAACAGTCTCCATACACTTTAATTCTTTACATTCCTCTCTTCATTTTTCACCAGCCCCGGCTAAGATCCTTTCATTTGGGGGCACAGTGACGACCCCCTGGATGAAGGAGGTGCGACTGCCCTGTAGCTCAGTAGGAGAACCTACACCTACCATCAAATGGACCAAAGACAGGTGAGAAACCTTCCCAGATTTATTGTGTAAATCTGAGTTTATGGTGTTAGTGTGATAGCTGTTAAAAGTGAACACGTATTGAAGTATCTCAATTGATTTAGGGAAAAGTCAGTTACTGTTTGCAGTTGTTTATATATAGCGATGGAATTATGTCACAAGTTAGTACAACTATCTTGTTGACCCCATGCTTTTGTTTGTTAATCAAGACTAAACAACAAGGTAAATAGCATGTTAACCTATTAAAATGATTAATTTCTCTGTTAGTGAGGACACAGCCATCCCAGTGTCTCTAGATGGACAACGGCTCATCTTGACCAATGGGACACTGGTGCTGCGTGCGGTCAAAGCTGAGGATTCTGGGTACTACACCTGCACGGCCACCAACACGCTGGGCTTCGACACTATCATTGTCAACCTTGTGGTACAAGGTAGGATAATTGACAATAATGGCAATAACCTTCAGGCCTTTCATTCAAGCCGCTCGATTATTGTTGCATCTCACTTAAAATACTTGCTGAAAATGAGAAATAGTGACATATTTTTAACCCCGTTAAAAATAATCTCCCTCATATTTTATTACACGTGTTATTGAGCTGTTAACTCTTTGCGTCCCTTCCTCAGTTCCTCCTGACCAGCCTCGTCTAACCGTCTCCACCACTTCCATCTCCTCCATCACTCTGGCTTGGATACCAGGAGACAACGGAGGGAGCTCCATTAGAGGTACATGACCCTGCCGAACAAAGCTGTCTCTTTTTGTGCCAACTCACATCTCTTTCTTCTTGTCACATATTTGCCAATGTGTTTAAAGGTATATACAGTTAGCTTGAGGTCGTCAAGTTGTATTTTGAAAGAAAAAAGATTTCCCACTGACCTCTGACTTTACCCTCTGTCTGTATTCTCTTTCTCCTTGATCCGGCACATTGTTAATGTGCACATTATCTATTAGTTATTGATTGGCCCTCTGGTTTTACGTTTCCCTGTTAACTCTGTGTCTCTTTGATTATCCGATTGTTGGTGATTCTGGTGTGAAGATAGGCATGATGTGTGTGCCTGAGTGGGCATCCATGCCTATGTGGTTTTAATCCCTTTTCTTTGTTCATGCCTTTTGTCAATAAGAGGCTGTTTCAGGGTTGTCATTCTGACTTGTTGTTGCTCTTTATGCCTATATTAAACTATAAAGGTAATGGCTCAAGACATCACAGCACCCAGAGAGACTTATTGTCCCACATTTTATTACTAAAGAATTTTTTTAACAGCTCTTTGAACCCTTTGGTCAGTCGGTAACTATACTTTAATTCTGCCAAAAGCTGTTGCTAAATACAATTGTATGTTATTCATGTGGGTTTAAATGCTGCTCTGCAAGTAGGGAATACAAAGTCATTTGTATAGTGTGCAACTTTGTATTAAAATCATGATGTTCCACCAAGCAATATTTGCATCCATCATCCAGTGTCTCGTACATCAGGGAAGCCTTTATCTTGTGTGTATACCACAATGTGTGTCTGTGTGTGAATTTCTACACAGTGTCAGCAGTCAAGGATGTCTTTTAACATTACTACTGCAGTGGCGAAACATGTTAGCTTTCATGAAAAAAGAGGCCTATTTGCCGCTTGTGTAATAATCAAATTAACCAATAGGCTAGTGATCCTGCAGTGAGTAGTGATATATAGTATGTTATAATGCTGTTCCTTACTGTTCCTTCTATGTTCTTCTGTGTTCTCTTCTGTTCCGTGACAGACAGAGGGTGACTCTAAAACTTAAAAACAAACACTGCAGGATCTGCATGTGTTAACCCCTCTAATGTTTTGGACTCTATCACACCATCTGTTCGAGAGAGATGGAGAAATAAATGGTACAGAGAGTACAAAGAAACACAGAGAGGGAGACATATACATAATTATATACAGACAGAAGGAAAGAGATGGAGGATTGGATGTAAAGTGTCTCCGAGCAGCAGGGAGTTGGCTTTCAAGGCAGCTGATTATAAAAACAGTCACCACATTGCATACCCTCATTTGCATAGATGCTCAGTCAGCGCCATCCCAGTGTTGGGGTTTGTAGGTAACTAATGGCGGAGTAGAGAGCGAGCAGCTACACTGTCCTCCAATCAGGGCCCGTCTGGCGAGGGAAGGTCTGACCTGCCATCTGGTGGACAGTCAGGGTACACATGTGAAATGTTTAGTAGGGTTGGTGCAAACGAAGTTCTTTATCTTGACTGTTTGACTTAAATAGAATCACATTGTCTTCCACTTTTATCATATATTTTAAAATTAGTTTAAAATTATATTTTTGACAACAATTAGTCGTGTACATACTATTCAATTAACATGTTACGCCATTTCTAAGGCATGTATTCGAAATAATATAACACTCCTTATTACATATACTATAAAACATTTTCTGACATTATTATGACCTTTTTATGATGCAAGATACCCTGACTATTCTTAAGACATATTATACTATAGTTTTGTTTCTATGACAATCATATGTGAATCTACATCATGACATATTCTACTATCTACGATAATGATCGTGTGCATTTTCTATTTTGTGTGTGTGCAGGTTTCGTGTTGCAGTACTCTGTAGACAACACAGAGGAATGGAAAGATGTTTTCATCAGTTCTAGTGAACGCTCCTTCAAACTGGACAACCTGCGCTGTGGCACCTGGTATAAAGTGAAGCTGGCTGCAAAGAACAGTGTGGGAGCCGGACGCATCAGTGAGATCATCGAAGCAAAGACCCATGGGCGAGGTAAGAGACATGTCCTATAGAATGAAGGAAAGGAATGTGGTTACAAATCACAATTCAAAGCTGATATTACCAGGATATGGTGGAATAATCTTCGAACAATATAACACAGTACGAAAGGCATATTTTGTGAGTGGTCTCAGTGGTGGAGTCAACAATGAAGCTTAAAATATCTACCATTCATTCAAACATAATAAGATCATTTTGACATTCTTTGCATTGTTCTGGGACTTTGTATTTGCTCCATTTTAATTACACTTATTTAAATATATTCCTGCTGATGTTGTCCTAAGTTCACAAATTACCTTTAATGTGGCACAGTGTGATTCTGAAGAGAAAAATACAAATAACTGATTGTCCTCCTTTTAAAGAACCCCAGTTCAACAAGGATCAGCCGGTCTTCACCCACCTTAACTCCAGCCACGCCCGCCTCAACCTGCAGGGCTGGGTCAGTGGAGGCTGTCCCATCAACGCTGTCATACTAGAGTTTAGACCAAAAGGTAAGTCTCTGTTTGTCAATTTTGTAAAAGTATTTTAACATACTGTGTAACAAATCAAATAGGAAAAGTTTGCATGTGAACCAAAAATGGTGTTGCTAGTTCTCAGGTCACTTTCCATCATATAAATAAATGTAATAAAGTAAATAATTAGAACAGACTCAACATTGCTATGTGTACTTGATGCAGGTACATGGGCATGGCAGAATGTGCGCACCAATGCCACAGCAGATGTGTTCCTGGCAGAGCTTCGTGAGGCGACCTGGTATGAGTTGAAGATGAAAGCCTGCAACAGTGCTGGCTGTGGCAACCAGAGCTCCCAGTTTGCAACCCTGGACTATGATGGCAGTAAGTAGAACACTATTTGTTTGGCATTCAATATGAATGAATGGTTTTGTCTGCGAAACTAATTTAAAAAATCACAACAACGGTTATCTTAAAATATTGTTGGAAATGGCAGTTAGTAATCTCTGCTTTTCCTTTTTGTAGGTACAATTCCACCAATCAAATCCCCTCTGGAAAAGAACGATGATGTCAAGAAGCTGTTTTCTATTGGTTGTCCTGTGATCTTGGTCACTCTGGGTGTTTTGCTGCTCTTCATCATTCGCAGGAAACGCAAAGAAAAGAGGCTGAAGAGACTAAGAGGTGAGAGAAGTGGTAGGAAGGAATCAACAAGATAAACAAAGCATTGTGTAACCAACAGATATGCCCGAAGCAAATTTAAGAGAGAATCTTGAATCGAAAGTTGCATTTATTTTTAGAAGATTGATTTGTGTGTCAGAAATAAATCCTTTGTGTCTCTTGTCTTTCTAGATGCCAAAAGCCTGGCAGAGATGCTGATCAGGTAAGACTGACATTTCAGAATCCTGCTACATAACCTGTCAGAGATACTACTTAGTGCATCTCAAAATGTATTTTACATACCTGTATTTTTGTAAATGTTTTTTTTGTTTGCTCGTCTTGTATCTGTGTATTAGTAAAAACAACCGCAGCTTTGACACCCCAGTGAAGGGACCTCCTCAGGGCCCACGCTTACACATCGACATCCCCCGAGTGCAGCTGCTCATTGAGGACAAGGAAGGCATCAAGCAAATTGGTGAGAGGAAGGGAAAGAAAAAGAGAGTTGTTGTGTTTTCAGGCGTCTTTGCATTAGTGTTATGTCTAATAATGTATGTGTACTGTACTTTATTTGACTCGCAATAACTGCATTTTGAAAATATTAATGATGTCTCTTACAGGTGAAGACAAAGCCACTATCCCTGTGACAGACACAGAGTTCAACCAAACTGGAAACCCTCAAAGCTTCTGCACAGGTGTGTCCGTCCATCACCCCGCCCTCATCCAGAACACCGGTCCTTTGATTGACATGTCAGACATCAGACCAGGAACCAGTAAGTGCTCTCTCTCTCTCTCTCCTCATGTTTCATTTTATCAGCACAAACTTGAACTAAACCAAAACAGTGCTAGTGTAGCATGTGAATAAAAGCAATTAGTTTTGCAAATGCTTTTTCATTCACTCGCCTTAAACAGCCTCTGCACATATGCTCATCCTTCTTATTTCTTCATCCATTTTCTTTACCAGACCCAGTTTCAAGGAAGAGCGTAAAGTCAGCCCACAGCATCAGGAACCGCTACTCCAGTCAGTGGACTCTGACCAAGTGCCAGTCCTCCACGCCAGCCCGCACTCTCACCTCAGACTGGCGCACAGTTGGCTCCCAGCATGGCATCACTGTCACAGAGAGTGACAGCTACAGCGCCAGCCTCTCACAGGACACAGGTTGGCACATGGGATGAATTACACTTACAGCCATTAACATGCACATATTAAGTAAGGCTATTTTTCAAATGTGGAGGACAATGTGGTTTTGCAGTGGGTTACATCTCAGAAAGCATTATTTTTGAACTGGACAAAATGTGCTTAACTTTCTATCCTTTCCATTATCTTTCTTAGATAAGGGTCGCAACAGCATGGTGTCGACAGAGAGCGCCTCTTCAACCTACGAGGAGTTGGCGAGAGCATACGAGCATGCCAAGCTGGAGGAACACCTGCAGCATGCCAAGTTTGAGATTACTGAATGCTTTATCTCTGACAGCTCCTCTGACCAGATGACTACAGGTACCAACGACAATGCAGACAGCATGACGTCGATGAGCACTCCCTCAGAGCCTGGTATCTGTCGCTTCACTGCCTCACCGCCCAAACCCCAGGACTACGATCGTGGCAAGAATGTAGCTGTGCCCATTCCACACCGCGCCAAGAGTGAGTGGTTGCTGCAAGCATTAACTTTTTTATAAGTAATTATTTTCACATGGCACTTTTAACTTGGATTTAATCATTAATAGGTCAAAACAAATCAACGTATTAATATATCAGAAGTATACTAATATTTCAATTGTATATTTGTTTTTGATAGGGACGATGCAATTTAAGATCCAGAGAATAAATAGAGTTTATAGCTATTATTTGAAGGATTATGTATTATGACTTTCATTAATTGTCAAACAGCAGAAATAGCCATCATATAGCTAAACACGGCTAGATAGCTGACTTAAGGATATAACAAAAAAGCATTATAACAGAATTGTAAATATAAAAAAACATCAAACAATAATATAGAAATACACACATACAACAAAGTTTAGAGGGATGGTAAAGTTCTGTCTGATGCAGCACTGATAATTATTTATAGGCATTGGGTTTTGCAGGTTTTAAACTTTTAATACATTAAATGTCATTTTTCCCCTTTAGGTGACTACTGCAACCTTCCCCTCTACATGAAGTCAGATCCCTTCTTCCGAAAGCAGTCCGAGCATCATGACCCCTGTCCAGTGGTCCCCCCACGTGAAGCCTCCATTCGTGGCCTGGCCCAGCGGGCATACCACACCCAGGGCCGTCATGTGACTATGGACTCGGTAAAGCAGCAGGCCCTAACCATGGGCCACTCTGGCCTGTCCAACCTCTCTTCCTCCGGAGGGGCAACAGGAGCCTGTGGTGGGGGTGCGTCTGCTAGCTCTAGCAGCTCCACCCTCCCCCAGAGGACTCTCACCATGCCAGGCTCCTCTGCCTCCATGGCCCAGAGTGCAGCGGCCGCTGCTGCTGCCACTGCTGCAGCCGCTGCATTCTCCTCCTCAGGGGCCACAGGAGGGACTCCTGGAGGGGCCTCCTCCAAGATGGGAGGATCCAGAGACTCTCTCCTGGAGAGCAGCTCCTCAGGCTTAGGCAGACTGCAGAAGCAGAGAGATGGAGGGGCGGGGGCCTACTCCAAGTCGTACACACTGGTGTAGCCTGCCAACACCTTGGCCTGTCACTGTAACTCTAAATAAAATGCTGGTCAAGCCAGCGCTTGCCTGGAGCCTCTATGAAGTGAGAAGAGAAACATACACATGCCCAGCCGACCCGTCAGTGCCTGCGCTGTGTCGGGCTGCAGGGAGCTGCTGGGGGTCCCATTGACACGACTGTATGAAGGGGTCAGAGCTGGGTCTCCACAGCACAGGGGTTTGCCTTTCTTTCTGCCTGATTGCTTTTTATTATTATTGTGTCATCTTTCTCTATCCCTAATTTCATCACCCTGGCAATCACTTGCCAAACCGTAAATGATTAATCTGTTCACTTCATTTTTTCATTTTCTGGCAAGGACAAAGTACTTATGCACAAAATGCTTTCCACGTGGACTGTCTTGTCTTCTGGATCAAGACAGTCATAGAATGAACCAAGTTTTTTTTGTTGATGTTTTTAGGTTATTAAATATGTTACTTTTCTGGTTTCTGATGGAAGAAGAGCTCATATCACAACATTGTGCCATGGCAGGATGCTTTCAATGTATGCATAAACCACCTTGGTGTTACACTGGCTCTTAGTGGAAGGACTGACATCTCAATACCAGTATTGAGATTTGGAGAATCTTCTACTCCACGCAATGGATGACACAGCATAGTGGTCTTAATTGATGCTTTTTTAAACAGACTCAAAACAGAGGACATACAAAAAATGTCAAGCATCATCAAGTGAATCCAAACCCTCTTTTTCAACAGTTTTCAGTTTATTTTCTGATAATGGAAATATAATCTCATATGCACTAAGAAAAGTTAGAATGGATCCAAGTAACAGAAACCTTCACAAGCCTGTGTGTGTGTGTGTGTGTGTGTGTGTGTGTGTGTGTGTGTGTGTGTGTGTGTGTGTGTGTGTGTGTGTGTGTGTGTGTGTGTGTGTGTGTGTGTGTGTGTGTGTAATTGTGTGTGTGTGTGTGTGTGTGTGAGTGAGTGAGTGAGTGAGTGTATATTAAATATATATATGTATACATGTGGCAGGCACACACCAACAGTGGATCTTTTAAAAAATCAATCTGTATGCTGACCTCTCGGGCAGATGTCTGTGTAAACTGACCCTCCCCCCCACTGTTGATTTTGGGGAATTGGGGACAGTAACAATGATAATGCTGACGATGTAACTATATGATCCTAATTCGGTCCAGCATTATGAAAATAGTTTTTTTTTAAGTGTGATTGACAGCATTGATTAGGAAATAATACTGAAAATGAAGTGGGTTCACAAAAGAGCATTTACAGAAGAAACAGCATCCTTACTTTATTCTCTTCCTCAGAACAAAGAAGGATGAAAACCCAATTATGATCCATCATCGTTCCACAATGTCATTAGTCTTTGTTTAACACATTTGTACCTGTATCCACTTTTCCCCTTTCATATCTCCCACCTTCGCCCACCCAGTCTCTCATCATATCCATACAGTGTCACTGTGACCTACTGCTAGCATACGGGCTAGTTAAAAGACAGCTGGACTGAGAGGTCTCATATGCACAGACAGGCAGAAATGCTACTTGACGTTCAATGACAACTTGAATGGAAGCAAAAGTTTCAAACGTACAGCAAATTTATTGAGATGTATAAAAGAAAATACTATTTGTATGAAATTATCTTGAATTGATGAACGGACAATGACTTTAAGATTATAGACAGAGAGATCAAGTGTTAAAAGAATTTGCAGAAAAGGGAAGAGGGGGTTACATAGAAGAGAAATAAGCGGTCTTTAAAACTAAGAGATGTGTTTTCAAGTCCCTCCACCTCACTGAATTGATTTGAGCTTTATGCATGGTACTGTATCTGCTAACTTTTGGTTAACTTGTTTTTCCCATTTCTTCTCCCAAAGCGTAATCCCATAACAAAGATCGTTCCAAAAAGAGTTGCTCCAAATGTTTTGCAATAGCAAAACGTAACATCAGGGCTCTCGCAATAGAAAAAAAGATATGATATATGTTTGTTTTCAAAAGTATGTACATATATATTTCTATTCAAATATATAGCAAATATATGAATATTAAAAAAGCAGAGAAATATAAAAAACGTTCTAATTGAATATATATATAAAAGATCACAAGACAATCGCTCAGTGAAAAACTGCGAGAAGGAAGAGAAAGAAGAAGAAGAGGGAGGCTTAAACGGGTAGCACAACCATGGATGGGAGATCTTGGAGAGAAAGGAAGTGGTGTGAAAGAAAGTGAAATGGTGAAACTGAGGTTTGAGGAATGATCCAATGACCCCCCTTGTGATATTGTAAATGTTCCAGCTCCAACTCCTGTGCAGCAGGGCGAGGCTGAGAGGAAAGCACAGTAAAGTCAAATTATAGTGTGAGATTGTGTCGCTGGTTAACTGTGGTCTATGGCTCAGTGCAGAAAGTGTGGTGTTGAAAAAGAAAACCGTAGAACAAGGGAAGCCTATACAGTAAGTGAGCCTGTTGTAATATGTTGTATTGTACCTTCCAAAGGTTTGTTCACAAACTCAATGCCATTATCTGACTTTAGTTAATGAAAACAAACAGACCGAAAAGTGTTTCTGTTTCTTTTCCGTGTCATAGCGAGCTCAAACTTCTGGACTGCAAGCCAATAAACATACCACACAGTAACTTCTCATATATGTATTAAAGCTCTATTTAATTTAAAACTACACAGGAGATAAATGCATTTAGCTTTTCATTGTTAATTGTTTCTTTTGGCCTTAATGTTTCACGTTGTACAAATATTGTTTTCAGTAAAACAAGTCCGGAAATGGGGCTGTCCTGTTTTAGCAACCAGAAACAGAGGCCTCATTATATACAGTTGTATGGATATTGGATGGAGTGATAAAACAAACTCCTGTCAAACCTGCTTTTCCCTATTCTTCATTGAAGTTGCCTCTAAATCACTGATATATAGTCAGTTTGCTTAAAGTATATGTATTGTATGCCTTTAAGGAAACGTCCACCCTCTAACCAGTGGAGACTTGATGGTCTTACATTTGATATACTGATTAAACTTATCTAAGTCTCTACGAAAAAGCAAAGAGGCGTATTTCTTTAAATGTTTAACTATTCCTTTAATGTATTCCAAGAATTTTGTTTCATCCTTGGTTGAAATTAAACTCAAAACAGCCTGATAATTGCAAACTACACAATACTATAGTATGTTGGTTCCTAAATAATAGATTTTCCGTTCTCATGTGCAGAAAAAATATCTTTAGGACCAAATAAATAATTCAAGTTAAATGTACAAATAATATACAAAAATGATATATGCAGCTGAAAAGATGGCCTGTTATTGTGTAACATTGACTAGTTACTTTTGAATAAAATAGCAAACCATACTGCCATATTAAACTTGTAACTGTTCATTAAATTGACAAATAAGTGAATCAGGGTGGATTCTCTCTTTAAAATACAACAGAATACTTTACAAGCTGACTGTTTGAACTCTGAGGCCAACTTCACATGTGCTACTTCCCCAACCTTTCCGCATCTGTTCAACCAATAAGATCTTCCCTCTCACTGTTCCCCCACCTTTTACATTATTTTAACTCCATAATAGAAGACTTGTGTACATAGGAAAGTGTTTTGTATAAATGAGTACTATTTTCGACATCTTCACTAGAAACCAGGGCACAATGTAAACTTTGAACTGACGTTATTGTAATGAAACAGAAGAGGACAAGGAAATACTATAGGATTATACAGACACTGCTTTATCTTGATTTATGAACCAGTTGAAACGTGTCAGAGTGGGCCATGCATAGTTAACAATATTTATTTCTTCTTTTACAGGACATTTGGTTGCATTGTCCTCTTTTTAAAAAATGTTTAATTTTTTTTTCTGTTAATTTTTATCTTTTTTGTTTTAATTTTTTTTTACTTTATCACAGGTTGCTTTATTTAGCGTTTGCCTTTTTTCCCCCACTTTTTGGGGGGAGGACAGCAGCATTGCATGCTCTGAAATTTTTGCTGGTTATAAAAGAGAAAGGGAAATGGTGAAAAGAACAACTTAAAATGGCAGGTTAATGAAAACATTTTAAAGATGCAGAGGTTGTTCCTTGAACTTTTACGGGGAAACGTTGCTTCAATTTGCAATTGCTTGTGTTTAACTCTACATTTTCTTTTCTATGAAAACAAACAAAAACAAAAAAAGAGTACTCAACACCTTGTGCAATAAAGCTATCTTTCTATGAACTGTGATGAAATTATTCATTCTTTCTTAACCATGACGGTAGAACAAGTGCTTTCTGTATCATCCACTCTTTACTGTAATCTGAACTTCCTAAAGACAAGACTAACTAGTTTGTCAAAGTATTTCGCTCAACCTGTTAACACTTTTGATATAGTGCTTCAGTCATCCTGAAGCAGTTTAAATGAAAAGGTTTATCTCCGTGTTGGTGACACTAGTACTGGAGGCATCGGATTAAAACATGTTTTGTTTAATGTTTTCAGCATTGCAACAAAGAAAGTCATTGTGGATGAAGAAATCACTGAGTACTATCTCAAAATCTGGGCAAATTAAATACAAAATACCTGCATGTGATGCCGTTAGAGGTGAGTGAAAACAATGTGAGACTTTGAGAGAACCAATCATGATTGAACCCCTGCACATAAAACCATTTACCCAAAATGCAGCTCTCAATAGTGTCAGTTAGATAGAAATCCAACTAAATGCAATTTGAGTTACTACTTGTTAGAAAGAAAACAATTTAATGTGTAAATAATCTGTACATTTTAGGGTCAATCTAAGGTTACTTTAGTAAACGGTTCAAAGTAACACACACAAATACAAACAAGACATAAGGAAATATATCCATAACTTTATAAATGAATACAGACTAAACATGTTTACAAGTAATTGTCAAATAATCCAAAACCATTTTTAAAACGTAAATTGTTGTCAGTCAAAACAAACAAGGCAGAGCCAGTTATGTGAAACAAAATTGTAAATACTTGCAAAATAATAAATACATGTATTTGTTTAAAAAATAAAATAAAAGCAACTGCAGGGTTTTTTTTACAGACTCCAATCCAGCATGTTTAAACCACTGGAAGTGCAGTTCTTTCATAATATGATTCAGAACCTGATTGAAACACTAGAGGGCATCATCCTGCAATGAAACACAGCAAGTCTTAAAGAGGAGTTTATTAAAATTGGTTGTTTTTCTGCACGTTCTATTATAAGATCAGAAATGTTCACATATTATAATATGTGTTCCTCTCAATATTGTTATATTGGATATAACATTGGTTATATTTATTAACAGCATTCACAGAGAGAGCACAAAACTAACATTCATTCAGATTTTGTAATATATACAACAAATCATTCACATAGAATTTAAAATCTTTCCAGTTGTTGGAGAAAGAAACTACTACTGTTATTTTATTCTGCACAGTGTTTTACTAATTCAAAAGCTCCCCTAAATGTATATTGTACAGTATGAATATGTGTGCATTTGTATAGTCACAGAGTTCATCCGTTGTTTGGTGAATCCAGATTCCTCCCACCTGCTTCCTGTTGTCTCCCAGGCCACTGCATCGGTACCTCCATCCCTCTTTGTCCGCCTACTTGCAGTTTTTCTGTTTCTTCTGCTGGAACTTCCTGTAATGGGTCTGGATGGTGGCGGCGGCCTTCTCCACCTCCACCGGGCTGAGTGGGGGAGCAGCGGTCCCATTGCTGGTCTCGGAGCCTGAGCACGACAGGATAGCCAGAGAGGCTGAAGCAATAGCCATGGAGGAAGAGTCTGCAGCAGTGATTAAGTCGAAACACATTTTTTTAAGTGGGCAAGTTTTCTGGTTTATGTTTTTACTCATTCAGATTTGACATTTGATTTGAATTCAGTAATTTAAAGTGG